GCGTGCGTGCGTGCGCGTGCGTGTGTGCGTGCGCGTGCGTTTGAGTGCGTTTGCGTGCGCGCGTGGATTTGTGTGCGTCTGTGTGCCCGTGCGCCCCTGTGCGTGCATATGTGCGTGCATGTGTGTATGTGTGTTTGTGTGTCCGTATGTCCGTGTGCATGTGTCTGCGTCTGTGCCTGTGAGCCGATATGACTGCATGCGTGCGCGTGCGTGTGCGCGCGCGCGTGCGCGTGTGAATGTGCGCGCGTGCGTGGGCGAGTGGGCGTGCGCGTGCGTGCGTGTGTGCGCGCGTGCACGTGTGCGTGCGTGCGTGTGTAAGTGTGTGTGTGTGTGTGCGTGCGTGCGTGCGTGCGTGCGTGCGTGCGCGCGTGCGCGCGTGCGCGCGTGTCAAAGTGCGCGCGTGTGCGTGCGCGTCTGCGCGCGCGTGCGTGTGCGTGTGCGGGCACGTGCGCGAGTGCGTGTGTGCGTGGGTGCATGTGCGCGCGCGTGCGTGTGCGTCTGCAAATGTGCGCGCGTGTTCGCGCGCGCGTGCGTTTGCGTGCGAGCGCGCGTCCGCGCGCGCGTCGGCGCGCGCTTGTGCTCGTGCGCGCGCGTGCCCCTGCGCGCGCGCGCGTGCGTACGTGAATGCGCGTGCGAATGCACGCGTGCGCGCGCGTGCAAATGTGTGTTCGTGGGTGCGCGTGCGCGCGTGCGTGTGCGCGTGCGTGCGCGTGCGCGCGTGCGCGCGCGCGCTGGGGCGCGCGCGCGCGCGCGCCCGCCCGTGCGCGCGTGCGTGCGTGAGCGCGCGTGCGCGTGTGCGCGCGTTCGTGCGTGCGTGCGTGCGCGCGCTTGTTCGTGAATGCGAGCGCGCGCGTGCGCGCGTGCGCGCGCGAGTGGGCATTGGCGCGCGCAAGGGTTGGCGCGTGCATGCGCGCACGTGCGTGCGCTCGCGCGTGCATGAGCGCGCATGCGTGTGTTCGCGAAGGCGTGAATGCGCGCGCGCGTGCGTCTGCGCGCACGTGTGCGCGCGTGCGCGCGTGCCCCGCGGACGTGGAAATACCCGAGAGCCTGCCGGCGACGCTAGGCATCGCGGCGTGGCTCGGGGTCGCGGACGCACAAGGACGGGGCGCGACAAGCCCATGGCCAGGTGAAAGGCGGTAGGGAATGGAGGGGGCTGACCATGTTGGACGCGCAGATCCTCTCGCACCGCGCCGCAACAAGCCCCCTCGCGGTTCCGAGGGGGGGCGACGAGGAAAGACTCTTGATCTGGGCAAGCAAGAGCATGACATGACGGCATAGTCGCAATATTTGCGAATGTTCAAATAATACTGGCTGGCGCTCCTGGCCTGAGAGCACAATGGTCCGTCCAGTCGCGCGGAGGGCAACGGTGCGTAGCGCGCGCTCGCTGGCGGCACCCACTCGCGACGCGACTGGCTAGAGCACAGGTGTCTCGTCGCCAAAGCACGCGCGGCAAGAGCGAGGCTCTGCTGGAGGCTTGGGCGCACGCGCAGCGACGGCGGTGACCGCCCAGAGAGTCCAAACATAAGTCCGCCGCCTCGTTGGCCGCGCGGGCCCGGCGCCGCGCGGGGCCTTGACCACCTCGCGGAGAGCGGCGCCCAGAGCGAAACCGTGCTCAGTCGAAATGATCGCGGCCATAACCTCGCATGCGAAGATGCCGCGCGCCACCCGCCGTTTTGAGCGCTCCGCCCTGCCAGTCGAGCACGTGGCCGGGCTGCTTGCCGACGACTGCTCGCTGCCACGCTGCGGACGCAGCCACGAAAGGACCGACGGTAGCTCCTCGGAGCTGGGCCGTCGGAAGCAAGCTCGGGAGTTCGCCATCCCGACGAGCTCGGAGCGTCGGTTAAGTTCAACGCTTCCACGCAGTCAACCTCAATCATATCGCATCAACCGTTGCTCGCGGATAACGCGCCCCACAGCGCGCACCGGCGCCCTCGTGGGCGCTCAACTCGCCCTTGCCAGTGAGATATTCCGAAGACTTCCCCCATTTTGCCTTGTCTTTTTTTCTGGGGGCCCGGCTAAACCGGCGTCTGCGCTCTGACGTCTGGCGATGAACCCGTTGTCGCACAGCGCGGGGACGGCCTGGCACATGACATTGGCCTTGGTGAGCGAATGTGCCGGCATCTAGGCGCAGCCGCTGCTTGGTTCTCTTCGTGGAGGACATCGAGTGACGCGTCAAAATATTCTTCGCCTTTGCCTTCCCTGAAGACTGCCGCAACGCCGGCGAAGAGCTCGAGACTGGCCGAGCAATCCGCTTCGCCCGCTGCCTCCTCGAGTTCTGGCACGCCACCTCTCAGCAAAAAAAAACCTCTGGACATCCAGGGAGCTAATGTGCCCATCCTCGGCACGCCGCCCACGATGAGATTGCTCGCCGGCAAATATGGCAATGAGGTCCGCCCATGCGTCTGCGAAGCCTCGCAGCGTCTGCCGCGCGCGGGCGACTCTGGCTCGCTGAATGGGGCCCACTTTTTTCCGCGCCCATTTCCACTTGCACACCGATGCGCACACCCACCTGCAATCCAGGATGTCGCGCGCTCCTCGGCGGGGGCGCCGCGAGAAGCACCTCGGGCACAGCGGCGGCTACCGCGGCAACGTGCTCTTAAGATTCGCGCGGAGCGGGTGCGTCATCGTCGCGTTCTACCGCGGCTTTCCTTGATCCTGCCACGAAAGCCCCGAGCCGCGCGCAATGTCTCCCGGGCACTGTGAGGCGAGAACAACGTTGTGCATCTGACCCAGGGCTGGCGCGCCGACGCAAGCGTCGCCGACGTCATCTGCCGCGATGGCCTCGGACGCGGGCAGAAGCTCAGCATGAGCGGTCAGGTGGCGTTGGCGCTGGCTGGCCCCTGCGGCGAAGATGTGCGGTGACGGATATGGCAGGGCTAGATGGGGCCCAGTCTCCAATGCGTCTACGAACTGAGGTAAGACCGGCGAAAGAACGTCTTGATTTACTGTCTTCTGATCGCACGCTAAGGACGCCCACCAGGTAGCGTCAACTACTTGTTTGTCGCTTGTGGAATCCTCGTGCTCGTTGGCCCCTCATCTATGTCTGATGGCCTCTCGTTGCCGTGAGAGAACTCGCCCGGGCGCGCGCCGACCTCATGAGGGGTCACCGCCATCTGCCACCTGGAGTCCATACCCCATGAAATATCCAATGCAGCGTCCAGTCACGCCCCCATAATGTATAAGACACATCACGCCTGCCTGCGATGGGGACCCAGGAGCCCCGCGAGGCCGAGCCGGCCAGCCTCGGCGCCCCACCAGGTCTCGACTTCGCAGCGGCCCCGCCTCCAAACCAGAAACAAACCACGTCGCAATCGATTCGTGGGCGCCGCCCACTTGAATGGCCGCTGCGCTGGTGCGAAGTATTCGAAGCGAGCGCGACTTGACGTCGCGAAAAGGTGACGGTGGCGACCGCGCGGGCGAGGGCACTGCCAAAGCGTCGGAATGCTTGAATTGCAAATTTTGGTGAGCATGTACTGCTGCACCACCTTCCACGCCCGTCCGCGGGGCGTCCCATGTGGGCCAGTGACCCCATTGACCAAACAACAATGCCCGTCGCGCGTCGCCAACTCGGCACAATTGTTCGGCAACGCGGTGGCTGACGGTGACGGCACCATGTTGGGCGTCGCTGTTGTTGACTGCGGCTGGACCACTCTGTCCGCTCACGTCCGTAGCGAATCAATCTCGATGGAAGTCGACCAGCGTGCCCTGCTTGCACGTTCTGATTGCGTGAGGATGGTCTTTGAGGCGCGGATGATTCGTCAGATGGCAGAGGCCTCCACAAGTCGTTGCAAGGCGATCTCTCGCAGTCGGTGGGAAGTCTGCGCTGCTGCCCTGGCCGCGTCGTCTGGGGGCGCCAACGAGTCTGGCCGCATGTGCAGCGAGTTGCCGGCAACACAGCAGCCTCTGACAACGCGGTCGCGAACGGTGACTCGTGGGCCTTTGTGTCGTAGGTGTTCGTCTGGGCGATGCATGGAATGAGCTTCGGCCGACAGCGCACCGCGCTCGCCGTCGACGACTGGGATCCTGCATTGGCAGAAACCCGATATCCACATGGTAGGATGGCGGAGCGCAGGCGCAGCGATGATCCATGCCCCACGTCGCTGGCGTCGCCCTCGAGCCGCCGTGCTGCATGCCATCTGTCAGCGCGATCGATCAGGCGCCAAATCGGACAATGGCGAATGAAAACGATGCCCCCTTCGACCTTTCTATCGGATGATGCGACCAGCTCGACCAATGGCGCGATCTGGGATCTGCGAGGCGTGGCTGGCCCAGGCCCAGCGCTCGCGGCATGCATCAACCACGCCTGCGACCACTTGCGCAACGTTGCTCAAGAATCGAGCCGCAAACGACGTCACAGTTCTTCGAAGCTTGCGGCGCGCCATCAACGACCATGTATTTCGCGCATCTCGCGTCGCACCTGCGATGCACCCCCCAATTCGCGGAATGCGCGAGGTCTGTGCGACGTCGAAACATGCCCGGCCCACCGATGCGCGGCCCGTCGCAGCGCCCACGACTCTTGGTTGTGGTCGAGGTGCCCACGGAGGCCTCGGATCTGCAGGATCGGGAGCTGGCGGTGGCTGGCCGCCGTTGAAGGTCGTCGCGAATTGGCGCCGGCGGCGCCACGTCGGACATGGGACCTTTCGGGCGGAGGTCCATCTGTGGCGGGGCTCGCCCGGGGGCCAAGAACTCCTGCCGCGGAGACCTCGGGCGCGCTGCACCCGAGCCTCCCAGGAAAGAGATCCGCGTTGGCCTGCGCGGCGTCTCTGCATTGCCTTCTATGGTCAGTCGAACCAGCGACGCTCCCCTGGGCGCCTGGCGCGATCGGAGCGAGCTCTATCAACGCGGCGGGTCGCGCGTGAGATTTGGCGCGAGCAAGGAGGCTCGACGCCCGGCGGGATCGGGCACCCCCCCGGAACTTTGATGCGACGCGGGCCATGGCTGCTGAGATTGTGGCAGCCAAGACACTCGGGGCATTGTCTAGAAGTTGGCGAATTGTCCGCCTGCTTGGGAGCTGCTGTGACGGCGGAAGTCTGGCTGCAGGTGCTGGTGGTGCTCTAGCTCCTTCCAAGCGTTCAACTTCCTGGAGATCGTCGGGGCTGATCTGTGAGCCTGTGGCCATGGAGAGATCGGCCATCAGGGTGACTCAACTCTCCCCTGGAGCCCAAACTGTCGTGATGCCCTGCACCGCGCGCCCCGCTAAGACCTGCAGTGTCTTTGCGTGTCGGCCGTGGCCTCAGTTCACGTCGCGGCCGCCGCTGCATGGCCGGCTACAGAGTGGCGCGGGCAAGAGGACGAGCTAGCAACGGCTAGCTGGGGACCCTTGCGGGCCCGTGGCTCCCAGGAAGCACGAGGGGATGACATGCTGGTTGACCCTGAAGCGGCTTTGCACTGGGCCACCAGGACCTGCGCCATCGCAACGGGGCCGCCGAACATGATGCGAGGTGCATATTCCTAATCGCGCGCCCCCCAGTCTCATGATCGATAAGATGATTGGGCGCCACTTCGGGGGCCGGCACTGCGACGAAACGGCGCCGCGCCCACTGCCAATGCGTTGTTGGACCTGAAATGCTGCAAGAAACTCCGCTGCGCCGTCGGGCCGCCAGGGTCGCGGCCAGTTGCAAGATCGCACCGAATAGCGCTCTGCGGGGCGCGGTCTTCGCCTCCGCGCAGCTGGCATTGATCCGCGCATGAGCCCGTGGCTCGGGCCGCGGCCAGGGCACGCGCGAGGGCCGTTGCTAGATAGGCGGGGCTCGGGGGCCCTGTGGCCAGCGATGGTTCTCGCGGCGAACGATTCTGCCAGGCGCTCGCCGGTTGGGGGCCCACGAGCGATCGGCGCAAGATGGCTTCCACATTTTTCTGGTGTTCGACAAGCACTTGACCTTGCAACTTGCGCCCCGTAATCCGTTCCGCTGCTTCAGCGGCAAGTCCCTAAGACGGGGCATGCTTGGATGTAACTTTGAGCGCGGCTCGGCCCGTGGATTTGCAAGGCAGAGCCTCGCGCGCAGTGAGTTTACGCGTTCAATCTGGAGTGTTGGTGACGAAACAAGAGACTCGTCGCCGCCAGCCTCCAAAGGCCTCTAACTCTAGAACCCCCCCTCTCTTCCCGCCGCAAGGGTCGCGGCCTCTGCTCTAGAGGCTCCAGGACATTGTTTAAAAGCGCTTGTTCTTGCGATTTCGGCCCCCCGGGAAAAGGCGGCAGTGGCGATGGATTCCAAGGCGGCCGTGAGCGCCCATAAAAATCCACGCGAACGCGGGCAAACTGGGGCGACGCGATCCGGGGGGGGGGGCGATGGGGGGGGGCGACCGCGACCGGCATCGCCAAGACCTTAGAAAAAATGCTCAGAGCAGCCAGCTGTACTCTCCCCATGGAATCGCAGCTCCACCGTTGTGCGTGGCTCGAGATCGCAGCGTGTGAAACAGCGAGAGCACCGCGTCGGTGGTCTCCTGCTCCTTGCGGCGCCGCTAAGAACTTGCAGACCTCGCATGTAACTTGGAGACGCGACTCCTCGCCCAATGGGCCGGACTGGGTGGCGAGTTTCGCGATGAGGTAGGTCGCGGCATCCTCATGCCGACCGTTGACTATACATGCTGTCATATCAGCGAAGCTCAGGGAACCCGCGAGCTCGCGAGAGGTTCCACCAAGGTGGGGGATGACGGCGAAGCGTATGTGAGCGCTGCCCATGTCCGCGGCGACAAAGCTGAATGCGTCCAAGTCCTGTACCCACGGGCGAAATGGGTCGGAGGACTCGCGTTCGGATGAACATGAAGGCAGCGCTGGCGAACCAGTGCCACCCTATTGGCCAACTGCACTAGGCAACACGCACGTGAGCCAAGACAGGGCGACCACGAGGGACACGATGATGCTGCCAGTGAGCGTCAAGGATGGAAATCCTCCTCGATGAGCCTCCTCCGCGACGAAGGCTGCGCCAGAGCTTTGGGAATCGGGCTTGCACATTGACGAACGACACGTCAAAGCCAGAGGCAGCTGTAGCAGTAGTGCTGGCGACCTTGGTCCGTGCCGTGGTCAGTGCCTACTAACCCAAGTAGGCGACGCCTTGCCACACACGACGTAACGCCACAAACAGTGCATGTGGGATGCGAGGCGGCCGTGGGAGCGTCGCGGCGCTCCCGTGGGTGGACGGCGGCGCTCGCGTAGAATTCAACTGAGTATTTTGATGCCCCCACAGCTGGGCTCTCACAGCGTCTCACCCGGTCCGGCGTTGGCCTCGTCGTGTCCGTGAGCGTCTAGGGCGATTTTTCTGCAGGCTTGCAAACAGCCAGAAGCACAAACTGGTCAAGGACTGGAGTGTGGTACCGATGCGCAGATTGAAGGAAATGCGGATGTGCGTCCACATCGACATCTGCGCCTCGTCCGCGGATCGCGGGCCAGGATCGTCTCGAGCTCCGCGATTAATCGGAATTGCTGGGGTTGTCATTGCAATGAGGGCCAGCATGAAAGCAATAAGATGTATAGCGCGGGCCTGTGCACCCTCATTCTATTAGGTGACGCGCCGGCGATGGAACCGAACGGCGATAGGGCATCCTATTACAGTGGACGAAAAAGCGGAGGAGGTGGAGGAGGAAAGCGAGGAGGAGGAGTGAGGAAGGAGCAGGGGAAGGGAGGGAGGTCACGAGGGAGGGAGGGAGGAGAAGAGGGAGGGCCCCCACCCCTGTGCTTGCACCGGCGGCGCGGCCGCCCCATGGATAAGGACACGAACAATGACATAGGCATAGAAGCTCGGAGGTCCGACGGCTTTCTCGGACCGGCGCTAGACCCCCCCCCCTCCCTGCCGCTGGATTGCGCCAGGGGCGGCGCCAGAGGCACCGCTGGGGGGGTCCAACGCCGATCCGAAAAATCCGCGCGGACCTCTGAGTCTTCATGCTCATGTCTTTGGATGCCCGAAATTGGTAATTACGGAAAGAATGGGTACAATGCCCAACAACAAATGTTGTCCCAAACCAACAGCGGCCGCTGTTGGGCAAGCGGCCTTCTGTCTCAAATGGACACAGGCCGCGGCGGTGCGGACAGCGAGTCCTGTTCAAAATGAACAAGAACTGCTGTGGGGCATCGTACCAATTCTTTCCGTGCCCACTTCGGGCGTCCAGAATGTCACTCTCCCTTCCCCCAGTGGAGGCCTCGTCGCGCTCGCGGAGCTTGGAGTAGGCGTGGCACACCTGCAGCAAACCCGGGGGCCCTCCTCGCTCCGTCGCCCCCGGCCCCGCCCCTGGCCTGGCACCTCCCGCCCCGCGCCGCGCGCCCGCTCCCGGCCGGCCGTCCGCCCCTCGCTCTTCGCTCCTCCCCCCCCACCCTCGCCTTGGTGCACCGGTGCACCCCTGAGTCCGCATGTCCACTCCAGGAGCAGGAAGGGAAGCAAAAACCAGGGATGCCGAAGGGCACATGAAGGGCGCCAACGGCACCTCTTGGCAGCTCCTCGCACATCCTGCCTGCTCCCCCCTCCCCGCCTCGTCTTCGCTCTCGTCCTCCTCCAATGTTCCTCCTGCTCCTCCTGCTGGTAACCCATCCTCCTGCGCGCGATTCCATTCCATTCCTCCTCCTCCTCCTCCTCCTCCTCCTCCTGTCCTCTCCCCCTCGCCGTCCTCCTCATGCTCCTACTCCGCCGCCTCATGCTCTTTCCTCCCGCCTCCCCTCCTCTCTCCTCCCGCCTCCCGCCTCGCTCTGCCCGCCTCGCACATCCCTCCTCGATCCTCCCCCCTCAATCCTCCCTCCTCCATCCTCTCATCACCTCGTTCACCTCGCAGCTCGCTCCGCCTCATATTCCTCCATCCTTCCCGCTCCGGCCCCTGCTCCACCTCATCTTCGAACAGCTCCTAGCTCTCATTCCGCTGAGTTGCCTCCTCTTCCTCCTCTTCCTCCTCCTCCTCATCCTCCTCATCCTCCTCCTCCTCCTCACCTCCCTCCTCCTCCTCCTCCTCCTCCTCCTCCTCCCCTCCTCCTCCTCCTCCTCCCTCCTCCCTCCCCCTCCTCCCTTCCCCCCCCCTTCCCCCTCCACCCGTTTCGCGGCCAGGGCCGCCGCAGGCCTGCGAGATGTCCTTGGGCACGAAGCGGGGCAGCCTCGGGGGCATCCGCCGCGTGAAGCTGCGCAGCATCTGCTCGTGCCGATGCTCCTTCGGGCGCGGACTATGTGTCGGGCACGTCCTGCTACAGGCGAATTTTGGACGACGACTCAAAAATAGTCACGCAATTCTTGCAAATCGTTCAGAAACTGAAGCAAAAACCGTCCCCAGACTATTGTTCGACGATTTTTGAATACTCCTCCTGTGGAGGGACAGGCCCGATTTAAGACTGACTTAGCTCAGCCAATGCAGAGAAACCAGCGCTGCATTCGTATGTTCCATTTTGGGGGGGGGTCCCCAAAACGGCTCCGCCAATGGGTATGGCCACCTCCAGGGCGCCAGCGGGTCCCAAACCCAGCCCGGCCAGCATCTGGCGCAACCGGGCCAGACCAGCCCGGCCAGACCTCCAGGGCGCGAGCGGGCCCCAAGCCCAACCCGCTCGGACGCTCGTTCCCCGTGAATTCCTCGGCCTCGTGCGCGCATGTCTGCCGCAAGATGATCCAAGGTGCTTCTCGATGCTCCCCGCCAGGAAAGAATGCCCTCGTCCGAGCGCTGCTGAGCCGTGTCCCGCCGCCTGACTCCTCGCTCTGCCGAGACCGCCGGCGCCCTCCTGCGCGAGAGAGGTCGCTGCGCGGAGCTCTTCCGAGCTTCAGCTCTTCCGAGCTGCTGCGCGGACGGCTCGCGACAAGACGCCTCGCCCCCGGGGCCGAGGGCTCCGGGAGGCCACGTCGAGAGCGAGGTCGCAGCCCGACCCGGGGACGAGGCCGAGGACTCCGCGAGAGCACGTCGCGAGCAAGGCTACGGCGTCGGAGTCCCGGGTGCGACGGGGTCCCTGCGCCTGCTGCTGGTTCGCCTCCTCCCTCCTCCACCCCCAGTGATGCTTGCCAAATTCTCCCGATTGCTTCCTCCTGCACCTCCTCCGGATATCCCCCTCCCACCTATTCATCACGAGTGTCCATGCCCCTCTTCATTCATTCTTCGTCCTCACTCATCCCTGCAAGAGCTATTCACAGTCCTCCTCCTTCTCCTCCTCCTCACCACCACCGTCACCATTGATCACTTCCGCCACCGACACCGTCACCGCCACCAACATCATCAGTATTCCAAGTTTTTCTTCGTGCTCAAGATCTACCACATCGCACGCCATCCTGCTCCTGCTCACCACAAGTCCATCGTGTGTCGCCATCGTCGTCACCACCATCAATATACTTCATCGGAATCGCGATCGTCTCACATCCACATTGGACACCTACCATCCACCACACATCATGTGCCTGACTTCTCCTCATCCCCACTGGCATTGTCAGTCTTCGCTCCTCTCATAGCACGACTAATCATCAGCATCACCACCATGTATATTCATCCTCAGTACCATCATTATCCCCACAATCACAACCACGGCCGCGCCGCCATCATCATCATCATCATCATCATCATCATCATCATCATCATCATCAGCAGCATCAGCATCATCAGCATCATTAGTATGACCACCATCATCATAATCAGCATCATCGTCAGCATCAGTATCATAATATCAACAAGACTAATCAACATCATCATCATCATCATCATCATCATCATCATCATCATCATCATCATCATCATCATCATCATCATCATCATCATCATCATCATCATCATTATCATCCTCATCATCATCATCATCATCATCATCATCAGCATCATCATCATCATCATCATCATCATGTCCACCATCATCAACAAAATCACCATCGCCATCACCATACACCCCATAATCCGTATCGTCATCACCATCAGCATCAACATCATCCGTGCCCTTTTCTGGCCCTGGAGGGCCCCTTTTCGGCAGGCCTCGTTGCCCGCCCCCTTTACGCGCCCTCCGACGTGTACCACGGACAACTCTACTGTGTGCACAGGGTGGTACAAAGCTCGATGGCACCGACCCTCGAGCCCAAACGCGGACCTCAGATGGAGAGTCGGAGCCGAGTTGAGTCAGGAACGAGATCGTGCGTGCGTTGTTGTGTCCACCCACTCGCATCTAGGCGCTGAGCACATGGCAGGACCGCACGCAACTCGCCTCTTTCTCGTAGGTAACACTGTTGCCGATATGTGCTGCTGCAGGTCAACCACATGCTACTGGTCAGCTGCTGCTGCTGCGACACGTGTGCTGTTGCTGTAGATAGCACTGTTGCCGACATGTACGCTTGTCGGCCAGCATGCGCGCACGAGTGTATTGATTTGTGCTGTGCAAATGCGCATTTTACAAAGCACGTTAGAAGCTATCAATGCCGAGAAAGCCCTCGAGACTCAGCCTGGGTCCAAACGTCTACAGCGGGAGATGACCAAGATGGTGCGGTCTGCTGACGCCTTTTTCCTCGTTGTACTGCCTCCAGGGTCATGGGCGCAGCCGTTCCAAGTGTAAAAGGGTCGACCTCACTCGCGTGCAAGACTGAGTGCATGGGCTTACAATGTTTTGACTTAGTTAATGTGGATAGCGTTGTTCAGAGACCCTATCCTGAGCAACTGGTGCACATCTCGGGGGGGTACGCTCACGACACACACAAATCATCAACGGTCCATCTGGGGCTGGGGCTATGGTTCAGCCAAGTTTGCAGGTGTTTTGCAGTGCAGCAGCTAGCAAAATTTAGCAAACCATGCAGTGAGCTAGCCAACGGTAATCGATCCGAGTATCTGGATAGGCTCTCTAGGGCTGCAACACGAGGCCTACAGCAAGACCGATAAGGCCAGCCGTAAGAAGCAACTCATTTGAATTGTCCACTTAATAACCGACACATTTGCAATACCCGTAAACCCGTGCCACCCCCTTACCCTTCCCCATGCCTCCTGTTCCGCTCAGCCATGGGAGTCCAAAAAGGACACCGCCACCGACGCAACGGGCAAAGGCGGGCCCCAAAAAAAAGCCTGGATGCACGGCCGCGAGGCGAAGGCCCTGAGGCATGCCCTGTCACAGGGGGGATTGGGAGAGTTGTTTGCGGACGCCCCCCATGACGACAACGACGACGACGCTTACGACGACGGCGACGACGACGCATACGACGACGACGACGACGACGACGACGACGACGACGACGACGACGACGACGCATACGACGACGACGACGACGACGACGACGACGACGACGACGACGACGCATACGACGACGACAACGACGACGACGACAACTAACGACTTCACATCAAGCCCTGGCCATGAGGGCCTGCACCAACGGCGCTTTATGCTGCCCTCCCGGAAACCGCACCCCGCGACACGTCTTCGCCTCATCGGTGGTGGGGAGGAGGACATCGCCCATGGTATGGTCGCTTGAACGTGGGGGGCCGGTCATGGCCGAGTAGAGGTTGGGAAACGGGCGAGGGCCGCGGAGCAGCAGAGGCAGCGGTGGAGGGAGGGGAGAGACGGGCGAGGACGAGCACGAGCAGGAGCAGCAACAGCGCTCAAGACCCAGCGGGAGCGAGAGTGAGAGAGAGAGAGAGAGGCAGCAGCAGCAGCAGCAGCAGCAGCAGCAGCAGCAGCAGCAAGAGGAGCAGGCTGAGGACGAAGAGCAGCGAGTTCGCCCAAACGCCCAACGGGAGCACCCCCATCGAGCAGCCCCTGCTCGGTGGCCTCTGGCTGCCACCCTCTGGCCGCCTCTCGCCGCGCGGGGCCCACGGGACCGGCAGCGGCACGTCGAGGCCCGCCGGCAGGCCGAGGCCCCCCGCGTTCTATGCGCGCCGGCGGCGTGCGCAGCTCTCGGCGCCGCAGTCGGGGCTGGTTCGGGCCGGGCGAAAGGACAGGTGATAGCAGAGGATGGGCCAGCAGATAGCAGGGCAGCAGAGGAGCGACGGGGTAGGGCAGGAACGATGGGGTATAGGCACGCTGGGGATAGCAAAGGAGAGCGGACCGGGGGGGGAACGATAGGGTAGGGCAGAGGATCGGCTCACGTGGCTGATTTTCCCGGCGCCTCCCGGCGCCGGGAGGCGCTCATGTATCGAGGAATGGGCCGGGCGGCGGGGCCGAAACCAGCTGCACGCAGCAGATTTCGTAACCCCCCCCTTCCCCTATCCCCCCCCTTCGTTCGGCCCGACTGGTTGGAGAGGACACGCGAAAGGACACAAGGCCCCTCCGATGGCCACATTGCCGTCGGAATGCAAGATAGGAGCAAGGAAAGGCGACACCAGCACCAACAGGGCGAGGAGATGCGCGGAAGCAAGGGGGGGTCTACCTGGTGGTGTGGTCCCCCCCTCTCGCTCGAGACATCCCCAGTCTCTCGCTCGGGGAGGCATCGTGGACCTCCTCGCTGGGGGTGGGCCCCCTGGTGGTGTTGGAATCGCCTCTCCCCCCTCCGAGCAAGCGGGCATGGGCCCCGAAGCTCGGGACACAGAGGGTGCCCTCGATTCGGCAGGACCTGCCTACTAGTCAGTCCCGACCGTACGGCCGAGGGCAAGCCTGAGGCTGCGCAGTCTCGGGTGACCCTCTGCCACGGTGCGGGGGAGGGGAGGGGGAGGGGGAGGGGGAGGGGGAGGGGGAGGGGAGGGGGTGGAGGAAAAAGAGGAGGAGGAGGAGGAGGAGGAGGAGGAGGAGGATGGACGAGGCGCGAGCGGGGCACGCGCGGGCCGGAGAGGGTGGGCGCTCCGCGCGGGCGAAGGAGTTCAGGAGCACGCTGAACTCGGCGCACGGGGGGGGATGGCGACGGTGGCGGTGAACGGCAGAAGCGGCGGCGGCGGCGGCAGCGGCGGCCGTGGCGGCGGCGGCGACGGCCAGACACAGACTGGGCCAGACGACGATCGGAGGAGGAGCAGGAGAAGGACGACGACGACGACGACGACCAGCAGACGAGGAGACGACGGCTACAGAACGACGACCAGCCGATGACGATGACGACCAGACGACGGCTAGCCGAAGCCGACAGCGTCGAAAAGATGGCGGCGGCAGCGGCGGCGGCGATGACGACCAGGCTGGCCAGTGGCCCGAGAAGCTCCCGAGCCCACCGATTGCGCCATGCCGCAAGCCCACGACTTCACGCCACGCCACGCCCCCCCCCCCTCATCAGGGCCCTAGGCCGGCGAATGACCATTGACCCACTTTGCCCACATGGCCCATGGGCCTTCGGCGGTCGTCGGCGGTCTCCGGTGGTCCATAATTTTGTTGCGCAGAAGCTGGGCGTCCGCCCTTCACATGGTGGCCTCCCACGCATGGGGTCGGAGTACCGGCGGGGCGTTGACCTAAGGAACCCCAAATAAGGAACGAAGGCCCTTTTCCCATAAGTGAAACTTCGATTTCCCATGAGAAACCAAAGGAAAACCTAAACAATGAAGGACCCCGGAGCCCCACCCCAACGAAAAGGGTTCCTTCTTCAGCGCCCCAACTGTAGATGGGGTCGGGGAATCGCACAGCATCGCCCATGCACCGCCGACGCACCGGCGACACCGGCACGGGGAATATCTGCCTCCAGATCGCGCCGCATCACACACCGAAGATTTTTGTTTGCGGAAAAAGCACGCACCCACACACTCTGTGCTGGTGGTTGTGTGTTGTATGTGTTTGTTCACACCTTCGGTCTTTTCCGCACACCTCTTCTCGAAACGGTCCGGCGGAGCCTTTTCTGGTGTGTGTGTGTGGGTGTGTGTGTGTGTGTTTGTGTTTGTGTGTTGTGTTGTGTGTGCATTTGTGTTTGTGCGTTTGTGTGTTTGTGCTCGTGCCTGTGCTTGTGCTTGTGATACTGTGTGTTCGTGTGCTTGTCTGTGAATGCGTGTGCGTGTGCGCGGCGATGCGCCGCGATCCGATGACCCCCATGGGCTCTGGCCCCACTCGGGAGGCCCAGACGACACGCGGGCCCGCAGCGCGAACACCCGAGGCCGCCCGTGTCCGCGCACCGCGCCGTCGCCTCTTCACGGCTCCCGGGTGCCGCCGCACCAGCCGATGGCCCTCGGGCGCGCGGGGCGCCTGACGTTGCGCTTCGCGCGGCGCGGGGCGCGAACCGCTTCGCGATCTCGCGCCGCCCCCCGAGGGGAAAGAGGAGGATGAGGAGTGATCGGAGCCGAACCGCGAAGCGCAAAGCGAGAATACAGTCGGGGCTTTGACCTAAGGAACCCTAAATAAGGAACGAGGCCCCTTTTTCCCATAAGTTCAACCTCGATTTCCCATGGAAAACCATAGGAAAACCCGAGGCAAACTTTGAAACAATCAAGGAACACCGAGCCCCTCCACAATGAAAAGGGTTCCTTCGTCAGGGCCCCGACGGTAACTTGGCGCCCTCGAGGGCGCCCTTGGCGTTTGCGCCCACGCGGCTTCGTCCACCCGAGCCCCTCCATACGACGGCACGGCGGTGCAGCGAGGGCCTCAGCACAGGGCTGCGTGCCGTCGTACACGCCGAGCTAGCTGGAAACACATATTTCGGAACACTTAGACACCGAGCTACAGTCGGGGCGTTGACCTAAGGAACCCTAAATAAGGAACGAGGCCCCTTTTTTTCCATAAGTTAACCTTCGACGTCCGATCGAAAACATAAGGAAAACCTGAGGCAAGCTGTGAAATACGTAAGGAACGCGGAGCCCCTCCCCAACCAAAAGGGTTCCTTCTTCAGGGCCCCGACTGTAGCTGTCGCAGACGCCGAGCTAGCTGAAAGACACATCAAAAAACGTAAACGTTCGGAGCTCCGCGAGGATTTCTGGGATCCACGCTGGACCCTCCTCCCCAGCGCGTGGAGCGCGCCAGGGGCGGCGCGGGAGGCGCCGCCCAGGGTGACCCAGCGTCGATATACGCAATCCGCGAGGAACTCCGAAAATGTATGGACTTGGCTGTTGCTGCTCTTTGACATATGGCTCACACACGTCCTGAGCATCACCGAAGCAGGACGAAGAATCAGGACGAACACGTTATATAAGCTTACAGTGTACCCTACTGTAGACCAGGGAGACCTCCCAGCGCGTAACAAGCAGGAGGAAGAGGGCGACAAGGGCGAGGAAGCAGAGGAGGAGGAGGGAGGACGGAGGAGAGAGGAGGGGGGCAAGAGGCAGGGAGGAGGAGGAGGGAGGCAGGAGGAGGGAGGAGGGAGGAGAAGGGAGGAGGGTGGAGGAAGGAGGGTGGAGGGGGGAGAGAAGTAAAGAGGAGGAGGAGGAGGAGGAGGAGGAGGAGGAGGAGAGGAGGAGGAGGAGGAGGGTACGAGGCGGGGCGCGCGCGTCCGAGGACTAACACGCGGAGGAGGAGGGAGGAGGAGGAGGTGGGAGGAGGGAGGAGGGAGGAAGGAGGAGGGAGGAGGGGGGCGAGAGGTAGGGAAGAACCGCGCGTGCCCCCGAGGCTACTCCTCTCGGGCGGGTGGTAATGAGGGGTGACCTTCCCCGCGTTGACCCGGACAGGGGGGGAGAAGAAAACGGCCCCAGAGGGGCCCTTAGGGCCCATTTTGGAGCCAGCAGGGGCCCAAACG